TATGGAAATATAAGCCTCTTATTTTCTCCCTTCAATTTTAGCAGCCCACAAAGCTTAGATCCATCTTGGATCATAATATAAGAACTAGAGTAGCTTACACAAACAGTTCTTTTAAGATTTTAAAAATTATCTTCATATGCATTATTTTAAAATTTTTATTATTAATTTATTTTTAACATTCATGCAAGCCATGTGGTATCAATTATATGTATGAAATCATGAAAAACATATTTCCAAGTTAGCTGTGTTACAAAACAAAACAAGAAAAATAAAGAAAGTTTAAAAAGTAAGCTTCGATCTGCATTCAGACTCTACCAGTTCTTTCTCTGGAAGTGAATAGGATATTTCATCGTAAGTCCTTCAGAATTGTCTTGGATCAATCAGAATAGCTAAGTCATTCAGAGTTGATCATTTTACAATATCGTTGTTACTGTGTACATTGTTCTCCCGGTTCTTCCTACTTCACTTTGCATCAGTTTGTGTAAGTCTTCCCAGGTTTTTCTGAAAGCATCCTGCTTGTCATGTCTTACAGCACATAATATTCCATCACAATCACTTACCACAACTTGTTCTTACATTCCCCAATTGATATGCATCCCCTCAATTTTTTATTCTTTGGCACCACAAAAAAAGCTGGTATAAATATTTTTGTACATATAGGTCGTTTTCCTTTCCCTTTGATCTCTTTGGGATACAGACCTAGTCGTGGTATTGCTGGGTCAAAGAGTATTCACAGTTTGATAGCCCTTTGGGCATTGTTCCAAACTGCTTTCTAGAATGGTTGGATCAGTTCATAATTCCACTGACAGTGCATGAGTGTCCTAATTTTCCCACCCTCCCTCTAACATTTGTCATTTTCCTTTTCTGTCATATTAGCCGGTCTGATAGATGTGAGATTGTTTTAGTTTGCATTTCTCAGAGTTGTTTTAGTTTGCATTTCTCTAATCAATAGACATGCTTTGTTTTATTTGTTCCTTATAACAGCCCTGCAAAGTAGGCAGAGAGAATATTATTATCCCCATACAGAGGAGCTGACTGGGGTTCAAAGAAACTCTTAGGAAATTACTCTCCCAGGGTCATACAACAAGGAAGTAGCGGGGCCAGCATATTCGCTGGATGCACAACACCACCGACTATGCCACTTTGCCGTCACTCAGGGATGTTCGACTCATAAGAAATCAGATTCTGAAATCCTCTTCTCTGGAAGGGATCTGAAATCCCCAACCTCTATTCCACCTGTCCCAATTCCTCAATCCTCCTAAATCTGCTATCACTCTTCAACATGATCTGTGGTCTCTTGACCCCTCCCTGTTCTTCTAGGCTATCTGTCCACCCTTCAGTTCCTTTCCATCCCAACACAGTCCAGAACCAATGGCCAGCCATTTCAACCATGCTCTCATTAAGACATCAGAATCTCATTACCTCTTGTCCTTTCAACCCCGATCGTCTGCTCTCCTTGCTTCCATTACCAGGGCTGCTGCATTTTCACTGAAGTCATCAAGCAAGGTTGATGGTCTCCACTAAAAAGTTAAATTCTATCATCCCAGAATCACAAACTTAGGTGGGAGGAAATCTAGTTTAACCTTTCTCTCAGTGTAGGAATGCCCTCTACAATATCCTAGCAAGTAACCACCCAGTCTCCCTTTAGCTCTCCAGTAACAAGGAGTTTCCTACCTCTTGAGGTAGTCTGGTGCTAGTTCTCATTGTTAAGAAAGTTTTCCATGAATAAAGCATGGGCCCTGGAGTCAGGAGGACCTGAGTTCAAATCTGGCCTCAGGCACATAACACTCACTAGCTGTGTGACTCTGAGCAAGTCACTTAACCCCAATTGCCTCACCCAAAAAGCAAAAGTTTTTCCTTATATTGAATCTAAATCTGCCTCCTTGTAGCTCTTACCCATTGGACCCAATTTCATCCTCAAACTAGACCCTCTTTCCTGCTTGACAACCCATTCTCCAGTCTTTAGTAGATCAATATACTCTATTGCAACTCATAGTGGCTGTTCTGAACATCTTCCTGTCTTCGAGTCCCCATCTCTAACCCCTTCTCATTTCCTTTTTACAAACAACCACTAACATGAATTTATTAAGCATCTACTATGTGCAAGAACATAAGCATTTCCAGAACAGGAATGGTTTCCAGCACCTGGACGGTGCCTGGAACATAGTAGGGCTAAATAAATGCTTGTGATTGATTTGTTTCAAGGCCTTGTATTCTACACTGAGGATAAAGAAATGAGTAACATTGGGGTCCCTGCCCTCGAGGAGATTACAATTTAGGAGAAGAATTTTTATATTTGAGATGAGCAATAGCCTTGTGATGAAGAAGGTAGGCAACTATTACTATCCATTTTAAAGATGAGGAAGCTGAAGTCCACAGAAAGGAAATCATTGGCTCAAGGCCAGACTTCAAATCCAAAATCCATAGTGAGAAGTGAACTATGTCAGAGGTCAGAGCTAGGCCACAGAATGCATTAGGGTACCACACAAAAGAAAGCAAGGTTAGCGAGGTGCTAGCCTGCATGGAAGAAAAGAGCACTACAAGGAGCAGTGTGCCCATAGAAGATGACATTTTGCCCAAGATGGAGCTACATGACAATAGAAATGGGCTGTAATTAGGGATGTAATGAGTCACTGGAGGTTTCTAACCAGAGGCTCAATGAGTCCCCCCCTTTCCAGGAAGGCTGTGGAAGAGACCCATGTAGTTGGAGGAGACGTTGGCCCTGATGCCCTCCCAAGGCCCTTCCAACCCCAAGAGTCTAGATTTCTGTGATTTCGTGGTTCTGTTTTGGGCAGCACAGCCAAAGATCTTCTGCTGTTAGGATGCAATGTTCTCACAGGCTCAAGGGAGAAGGAGGATGGAGCAGGAAGGGAGCCTGCATCTCCTCCTCTGTGGCTGGAGTGTTTAAAAAGGTCATCCATCATTCACTTCCAGAATGAACTGGGCCTGCCCAATTCCCCCACACAAACACCCTCTTCCACCCCCACTGGCCTTCCACTGGGCCACACCCAAGAACCATGTTCAAACTCCATACCTCCTCCCAATGCATCCTTCCAGCCTCTTGGCAGGCTCTGAGTAGCATCGGACAGTCTGGATGAGCCCAGACTCCCCATGAGAGAGGCCCATCCCACATGTGGTTCCTGTTTGCCTTTCTAACTGGGGCTATGTTGGTCTCCACATCAGCTTTCTGACTCTGACACTCTGGGTTTTGGCTTCTCTATTTAGAAAATAAATAAAACAAAAAACAGTTCCTATTTAAGTTCCTGGGCTTAAGGAAGGCATAGCTGTTGGGCAGGGTCCTACAACCTACGGAATGGGCCCACTTGGGAAAAGAGAGGAGGGCTCACAAGATGTTGTCAAAAATGTATCTGGGACTGATGTCAAGACTGCATAGCCCTTGAGAGTTCCCTATACCTTAAACCTTTGGTAGTTTAAAGCATAGCTCAATACACTATTTTTTCCTTTTTTCAGGGACACACAGAACATATGAAAACAGAAATATAGACACATAGAGAAAGCCAGGTAGTAACTAGACTCTCTGCTACACAGACGTCTCACCTGGCTCCCTCAACCTTGCCAAACTATCTACTTTGAAGTGTGAGAATCATTCCATAAAACATTCACCAAGAAAAATGGGCCACTTCTGGTCTTAGGAGGTAGCTCTAAGTCACCTCAAAGTGGGAAAGAGGCTGGCACCCTCAACAGGCCTACTGGCCACAGCTGCTACCCTCTCTGGTCCCACAAAGCAATTTCCTTCCTCAATGTGGTAACAATAATCCCCACTGATTCTCATGACTCCTACCATTATAACTGCACTGTTAAACCAATGGTGTGGTTTTGATGATATCCATGTTGTATTCATATGCATATGATATATGTACATATCTTGATGAGACTCTATCCCACGATGCTCTGTGGTTTGTACTGCATTTAATTTGTGTTCTTGGTTTAAAATGTACAAAGTTGTTTATGCTATTGATTGATTATATGCTATGTATCCCATTCAGTTTAAATAAGACATGGACCATGCCCTCATGGAAAGAGCATACTGCCTTCGGACTTGGTTCAAATTCAGCTTCTGATGATCCCTGCCTGTGTGACAATAGACAAATCCCTAGGTTTTTGCTCATCTGTAAAATGTAGAGGTTAGATTCAATGGCCTCTGGGATTCCTTCCAGCCTTAGAGCTATAATCCTATGATCTGTGAGTTCATTAGAGAAGAACAAAAGAAAGTCTTCTGTGAGGTCTGGAGTAGGGTGGTGATGGAGAGAGGTTGTCACCAACAGGGTGATTAGGAAAGACTTGTGGAGAAGATGTCATTTGAGTTGCAAAGGCATGGTCCACCCCCTACACACACATGGAACCTAATCAAAGACTTTCTGCGACTTAGGAGAAGCTCTTTTTACCTTCTAGGGACAAAACAACTTTACATCCTTGTGGTTTGCCATACAGTATGAACTTCTCCACATTTAACTAGGTTTGCTCTTGGTGAGAGACGCATGATCTATCACAATCCATCAGTCAACGAGCATTTATTAAATTCAGAGACAAAGTTGAAACAGTTCCTGCCTTAGAGGAGCTTACATTCTGCCACAGGAAATAACATATATGTATGTATACCAACATAACTATATATATGTAAATATATACATGCATATATACATGTACACACGTATACACACATATAGTTAATTATATAGTTATAAAACCAACATAATATGCCAATAACCAATATATCAGATATATACCCATATATAAAACATTGCAGTTTTATATGATATATTTTTACATATATATATACATATACGCACACATACATGATATGAAACAGATACAATGTGATTGGTGGGGGGAGATACAAAAAGGAGTAGCAGTGTGGTATACTGGATAGATCACTGGACTTGAAATCAGGGAGTTCTGGGTTTGAATTCCACCACCACCTCCCAAAGACTGTGACCCTGGGCAATCATTTGACCACTCTGGATCTCAGTTTCCTCATCTGTAAGATGAGGGAGATGAGGAGAAGCCCCAAAACTATGTCATATAAGGATCAGTTGAATGATTTGGGATCATTTTGCTTGAAGAAGAGAAGATTTAGGGAGAACATGATTATTGTATTCAAGTATGAAGGGTCATCTGGGGAAGAGCGATTGGTCTTCTTCTTGGCCCTCAGAAGCAAGAGAAGTAGGGGCAAATTATAGGAAGGGGGTTTCTTGGCAAAGACACTGGAGTGGTTCACTATTTCTTTCATTTTACATATCAGGAAACCATACCTAGCTGCCCCTAACAACTAGAGCAGTCCAAAAGCCAATAGAATGGCTCCCTCTGGATAGTAATAGAGTTCTTCAACAAGAGACATCTTTAGCAGAGATAGACTGACTGACTGCTTGTTGGTTGTATTGTAGAGGAGTCTCCCTGCTCAAAACCCTCTAAAACCCTTAGAAGAAGACCCTCTAAGACAGGAGTTCTTTATATTTTGTGTCCAAGGAACCTTTTCTCCCCTGCTTCAACAATCAGTCTGATGAAGCAAATGGAACCCATTCTCAGAATCATGTTGTTCATTAATTGAAGGAAAAGCTAAATGTTATGAAGTATTAATGACAATGAAGATATCATTTTTTTCCTATCCACATTCACGGACCCTGTGAAATCTACACACAGACTCCCAGACCCCAGGTTCAGAACTCCTGGTCTAAAGGCTCTTCCAGTTCTGAGATCTAAGCTTCTATGCATGAATACCTCCTGCCAAGTCAAGAGAGGGCAATTTGCTCTTTCTTCTGTCTTTCATGAAGGCGTGCCCTTCATGTCCTATGACACAGACTCATTCACATGTGCCTTCATGCTCAGTCAATCATTCACCATGCTTCAGGTCTGCTTGTGCCATCCTTCCAGTCCGCCACCCTTTCTAAGCCTTCTCTTTCATGCAGAGATCACTGGTGGTTCAGAACTACCCCCCATCAGATGTTATGTCCATCAGGACTTTGTCATCATGCTAGAATTACTCCAGAGGATCAGAACCTAGGATCCAAAATGCACTCACTCAACCTCAGAGCTCAAAACACTGGTGGGGTGTGACAGCCTCCACCTAACCCAACTACCCACTCTCTCCACATTTGCAAGCCCTGCAAGGGTCCACACCCAAGGGCCCAAAACTTTCAAATTACCCCCTGGGGGATCCTCACCCAAACTCACGTTCCCTCATTAATTAATCATCCTCTCCCAAACTTAAGGCATGAATCACATCAAGTCTGACATTCATGGTCCATCTCCACTTGACTGTGCTACTCTCAGCACATTCTATCAACATCCACCTAAGGGCAGATTTCCAATACCACCAATTAATTGCATTAGAAGAACATCCTAATGCTCTTTTATAGCATCAGGAGTAATTAATTATTCTCTCCCTTGATGAATAACTGCAACTCCTTTAACAAACACCATCAGGTATCCCAGGATCTCAGGTAAAATGGCCCTCAAAGGATGACCAGTGCATCTAGGGTCTATGCAACAAGCTCAGCAAAATGATTTTGAGACTTAGACTACAGGAAGGAAAGTAAGCTTGGTAGAAGTCACTTCTCTACTGGTCAGGCCTCGAAGATATAGTCCCTGGCCAGAAGCAAGGATGTCTGTAGAGAAAAGAACTCTCTATTTGGAATTGAGAAACCTAGGTTGGAAATACTAGCTTAACTGTTTATTTGCTTGTAGTCTTGAGGGACCTCCCCTCTTTGGGCCTTGGTTTCTTCATCTCTTAAGTGAAGAGGTTGAATTAGATGAACTTCAAAGTGCTTTCCATCTCTGACATTCCATGAAAATAAACTTGTAGTCTTAGAGTGTGTTGTGGCAAGGCTGCCCAAAAGTGGATCACAGATGAAGAGCTAAAATGGACCTGAGAGGTCATTGGTTCCAACCCTCTTTTCTAGATCAGGGAACTGAGGCCAAGAGAAACTAAGTGACTTGTCCAAAGTAATACAAATCATAAGTAGAAGAGCTGGGCTTAAAAATCATGTCCCCTTACTCCAAATCTATCACTCTTTATGTGACCAGTACTTAGCCCAATGCCTGGCACATAATGGGTGCTTAATAAATGCTGGTTGTTTGAATTGATTTATTGGAGAAGAGATTCTTGTTCAGATGTGGCTTGGACTATATGGTCCATTTTAGTTCTGAGATTTGGCGAAGAAAGGAAGGAAGGAAAGAAGAAAGGAAGGAAGGAAGGAAGGGAGGGAGGGAGGGAGGGAGGAAGGAAGGAAGGAAGGAAGGAAGGAAGGAAGAAGGAAGGAAGGAAGGAAGGAAGGAAGGGAGGGAGGGAGGGAGGAAGAAAAAAAAAGAAACAATTGTTAAGTGCTTACTAGGTGCCAGGCACTGTGCTAAGTGCTGAAGATACAAATACAAGCAAAAATGTAGATAATTCCTTTTCTCAGAAAGCTTACATTGTAATAGGGGATGACAACACTCAAAGGGGAACAGAAAGGAATGATAGGAGTGAGTGGAGAGAAGAAGGTACCCAAGAAGTGGGCATGATTTTGAAGTCCAGAAGCCAATGAAGGAGTCAGAAAAAAGAATGAAGGCAGTCGGGCCCCTCCACAAAATGGAGGTCCAGGAGAAACTCACCAGAGAAGGGAGGCAGTCTCTATAGAAGGATATTCCAGATTCAAAAGGTCTCAGTGATAACTGAATATTTCAGGGCACAAGTCTGTGGTCCTCTCCTGATTGTTGCCAACACTAGCTGGGTCCTGATGTAGCACCCTTCATATCTTAAATCCCAAGGATCTCAGAGCTGGAAGGGAGGTCTAAGGGCAGGTCTGATCAGTAGGATGTTTTCCCATACATTAAGCCAAAATCTGTCTCCTTGTAACTTCCACCTCTTAAATATACAGTTCTCCATAACTTTAAGAGCAAGATAGATTCCTGGGATCTCAGAGAGGGCAAGGAAGTCTGAGCAAGGAAGCAAGGACTTGACCCCTTTTAGAATAGATAGTAACATCATCTGCAAACAGAGCCGGCAGGGTTTTCCCACCCAGCTGTGGCTGTTTGCCTTTCTCTGCTATGATTTATCTTGTGGGTTTCGATTTTTTGTTTATTTTGCTTTGGTTTTCTGTTTTATTTTTTGCTTTTTTGCAAGGAACAACTCCAGAAAATGAGCTTGGGAAGTCCAGCAGAGCCTGTTTGTGCCTGACCCAAAGCTGCTGTTTCTGTCCTTGCCCTTTAGCCAGGCCTGAAATCTGGGCTCTTATTCTAGATCTATCCCCACATATATTGTATGACCTTAGCCAAACCTGTTTAACTCTTAAAGCCTCAGTGTTCCCTTCTGTCCCATGGGGGAACTGGCCCAAATGGTTTCTAAAGTCTCTTCTAACTCTTAAATTATACGTTCAACGTCCTGAAGTCTCTTCCAGTTTTGATGTTCCTTATTCAGTGTTCAAAGTTCCCTCCAAGCACTGACATTCTATGTTCCAATGTTCCTTTTCAATGTTATAAGGCCCCTTCCAGGTCTGACGTTCCATATTCTAAGGCTCCTTCCAGCTCCGGGTAGTTGTGCATTCTTCTGTCCTCCATCATCACTGCTGTCCAACTGAGCAGCAGGCTTGTCTTTGCCTTGATCTTCTTGTGCCCAATATAACTTTTTAAAAGCTCTTTTTGTTGACATCAGCATTTATTGCCAAGCCTCAACTTATTCTGAGTTTTCTAGTTTCTGACACTATTCTTAAAGGATCAATTTTAAAATACCAAGTTGGTAGAAGTGTTCTCTATGCATACCCAATGATTTCTTTAGACACCTCCCCTCCTTCTCACCCTCTGGAATCATTTGCTTCTGCAAATCTTTAGAATTTCACACTTGAAAGTTTTTCATTTCCCTTAGGACAACTTCTTCTGTAGAACTTTAGTTCATAGGTTTCGCTCTACTTTTTTCTAAACACAGACTGAGATGGTACTGTGGATAGAGCTCTCTGGTTAAAGTCAAGAAGAACTGAGTTCCAATACTGTCTCATACACTTGCTAGGTATGTGAACCTGGGCAAATCCCTTAACCTCTATCTATCTCAGCTTTCTCATCTGTAAAAGAAGATGATTTAACTGGATGGCTTTGAAGGTCCCTTTCAGTTCCTTTTTGACTTCTATGATCTATGATCCTACAATTCTTTTTGAAATACATTCTCCAAAAATCCAGGGTGTATATCACACACCACCCTGGTTTCTACTTCTTTTCCAACACAAATTATAAGATGAAATACTTACTTTTCCTGAGGTTCTTTCCATTTCCACTTCAGCAACCAGTTTCTTCTGGTAGGTCAGAATCAGGTCTAGAGTAGCAAGTCCCTTTATCACTTCCTCCATCTATTGAATTATATAATTATCATTAAGGCTCCAGAACTTACCAGGTTCATTACTCTTGGCTGAAAGAGTTCCAGATAATGTCTGGATAATTAACCCTCCCCGCCCCCATCGCTATTCTCTTGCCAAGTTTATGATCTGTTTTCTGAACTTATTTATTTCTTCCTCCCGATCAGGAGGTCTCTAACAGTGGTGTCAAATTCAAGTGGAAACAAAAACCACTAAACTATAGAGAAGGATCCCTGGAAGGTGCACATTGACTTAGAAAACTACATGTTAACATGATCTATGTTTTACTGTATTTTTATTTATTTTGTTAATTATTTCCCAGTTACATTTCAATCTGATTCAGACTGCACAGGGGAATGTTGGGGGCCCAAGAGGCCAGTGGCCTTTGACACCTCTGATCTACAACAGGCTCCCATGACAGTATTGTTTCTATTCCTTTCTGCACTGATATTCATCCAAATGCTCTCCACCATTGATCCCTACCATTCTGTTCATAATTTTTTCACATGAGTTTATGGCTTAATATACAGTGAAACTTCAGCATACCCTTGTCCTGTTGCTTTTAAATATGGCAAGTCCTTTAATGATCATATTCGACATGGGTTCCTTGGTGGAGACCAAGCATCAGTGATATATGTGAGGTCAAATTTAAAGCAGGTTCTTGAGTTCATCTATCATATTCATCACCCATATTCTGTGCCTCTGTGTATACTCATCTGCAGTCATAGGTTTTATTCCTGACTCTTTCATGTGAATTAATGATTCTCTCTCTACTAGTACCCTTTCTCCTAGGATGTCTCTTCTGCTTTCTCAACAAAATTAATAGTTAGCAATATGACATGGAGGGAGGAGATAGAAAAGCTAAAAAATCAACATAGACCTGTGTTTGATGATGTCAGATATCTTCTATTTAAGGAGACTGGCAGAGGGGGCGGGGGAAGAGGAGGGGAAGTATATAATACATTTTAGAGAGATTTCCTTTCAGAATTATTTTTAAAGTTTTCTGCTTTATCACTTAAAAGGCTGAGCTTCAGGAATGGAGAAATTTTACTTAGTAAAACAGGTTAAATTAAATGGGGTCAAGTTGAAAGCGTTAAAGACAAGACAGACAGGCATGGCTGCTCTGAAGACTCTGGGATGTAGCCTCTCCCTCCTTCCCTGATTCTTCTTGCTCAGTTGCCCCCAGATCTGGATGGATTTGTCCATCCCAGGGAAGTCCCTCCCTTTCTGAGGAGGTGAAGGGATAGAAAAAGGCAGGTGAGGCCAGAATGCTGCAGCTCCAAGAATATCCCCTGTTCCTATGGAGGAGAGAGAGGGAGACAGAGAGAGAGAGAGAGAGAGAGAGAGAGAGAGAGAGAGAGAGAGAGAGAGAGAGAGAGATGCTGTTCTTTAGACTCGCCTAAAACGTGACCTGGGCTGAAAGAAGCATTTTGAGGACAGTGAAGGAGAGGGCCAAAATGTCCTTGGGACAGGATCCCTGTTCTCAGCAATAATAGCTCCCCACTTCCAAAATGTCTCTCTGGTTACTTACTTTACAGATAAAAGAGCACAACAATGTTCTTTCCTCAAGCTTCAGCAGGTCTGCACTATTCCTTGGGGTTAGGCATGTGTCCTTATTCTCTAGCTGAAGAAGGTCATTTTATAGATAGGGAGAAAAAGGAAGGAGAGGAGAGGGAGAGAAAAAGAAGGGGAAGCAAAGAGAAGAGGAGAGATGGAAGAAGAGAGGGAGGGAGAGAAGGAGGGAGAGGATAAAGGAGAGAGAGAAGGGTTAACATGGGGAATCAAACCCCCTCCACTTGCCCTAGATTGGGCCAAAGGCAACAGAATAACTCTCCCATTGGAAGGAAGAAAGCCGAAGATAACGGACTATCCGCACCTGACTTCTGGAGATTGTTCCTGATAAGTATCCACTGGGATCCTCATTCCTCACCAGAATTCTTCTCTGTACAGGCTTCAGCCTTATAACTTCTGGGTCTTGAAGATTTAAAGAGATCTTATTCCTTGACATTGCATCCCAGCAAAACTCTTCAACTCAGATCTGCTGTGAAGAGACTGAACTGGGGGGAGGGATATTAGCATTTATTAAGTACCTACTGTGCACCAGGCACTGTACTATCTCACTTGATCCTCACATTTCTAGGAGTTAGGTGCTATTATTATTCCTGTTTTACAGATGAGGAAATCAAGGCAAGCGGAGGCGAAAATTACTTGCCCAGGGTCGCACAGCTAATGAGTGTCTGAGACTAGATTTTAAAGCAGGTCTTCCTGACTCCAAGCCTAGTTCAGCTCCTCCCAGCTCTGTCTATCTAAGCCGCCATGAGACACTAGGATCAGGAATTACTTGTGTTGTTCAATAGTTTTTCAGTCTTGTCTGATTCATCATGACCCTGTTCGGGGTTTTCTTAGCAAAGATGCTGGAGTGGTTTACCATCTCCTTCTCCAGCTCATTTTACAGGTGAGAAAACTGAGGCAAACAGAGTTAAATGACTTCCCCAGGGTCACACAGCTAGTAAGTGTCTAAGGCAAGGGCGGGGAACCTGCAGCCTTGAGGCCACATGTGGCCCTCTAGGTTCTCAAGTGTGGCCCTTTGTTGAGTCCAAATTTCATAGAACAAATCCTTTCCCTTTCTCTGGTCTAAGGCCAGATTTGAACTCAGGAAGATGAGTCTTCCTGACTCCAGGCCCAGCGCTCTACCCACCGGGCCACCTAGCTGCCCCGAAGTTCTTTAGAGAACTTCATTTTTATCTGGAAGGACTGTGATCTCCCTGCCTGAGAGCAGAATCCAGGTCTCTTCCTTTCCATCGCCCCCAGAACATCAACTCCAAGGACAGGGCCTAGCTTTCCAGAAGTGTGTTGGTAAATGTTTAAACACTAGCTCTCTAAATAAATAAAATGTGTCCACCACATGCTTTTTTAAAAAAAAATTGGGGGGGGCAGCTAGGTGGCACAGTGGATAGAGCTCTGATCTTGGAGTCAGAAGGACCTGAGTTCAAATCCAGTCTCAGACACATGACACTTACCAGCTGTGTGACCCTGGGCAAGTCACTTAACCCCAATTGCCTCACAAAAAAAAGCAAGAAAAAAATGTATTACATTTTTATTTACATTTTTGAGTTCCAAATTCTATCCCTCTCTCCCTTCCCTCCCCACTCCCTGAGACGGTAAGCAATAAGATATAGGTTACACATGTGCAATTACACCACACATTTTTAAGTATAATCTACAGCATTAATATTTTTCCATCACCTTCTTAATATAGAAAATCAACAAAACCACAAATCATGCCCTGATTTGTAGCATTTGCCATTGAAAATTCAACAATTAGCTCTTGAGTTGATCCAAATCAACTCCAGCACAATACTGTGTGTCTTCCTGAATTTGTCCTCTCCCAGGTCTAGGGACATAGTAAAGGCTTGTTAAGTGAGTGAATGAATGATTGAATGAATGAGTGAATCCTGAACTGGAGATCGAGATCAAAATTCTAGCCCCACTTCTGCCATTGTCTAATTCAATGTGAGTTGAGCAACTTATTTCTCCAACCACTTTGGGTCGTAAATGAGATCATTGGACTAGCCCCAAAGACCACAGGACCTAGAGATGGAAAAGAATCTGAGATAATCTAGTCAAACTTCATTATTTTACAGAATAGGAAACTGAGGCCCCAGAGAGTGAGCAGGAAAGGTAGGCTCAGATCTTAGGTCCTCCGGTCCCAGACCCAAGATTCCTAACATGATACCCTTCTGTGTCTCACTGCTGCTAGGTGGTAGATGTTTTTCAAGTTTCTAAGTCATGCTAGTATCAACAAAAAACCCTCTGGGACAGATGAGTAAATACTAATGACTCCCTAGGGCTCATACATGTAGTGAGTAAGAGGAAAGTCCCTAGGGTCTAAAGATGGCAGGCAGGAACATAGAAGATGGCTCGACCTTCCTCCTCTCCATTCTGGCAGATGCCAGCAGCTACAGAGCAACATGGTGCTTCTGGGAGGGGGCTCCCTCCCAGACCTGGCCCTCTAGAACACCCCCTTTTCTCAGTCCAGCTCAAGTCTCCGCAGTGGTCAGAAATCGCCCCTGCCTCCTCCAGTCTCCTTGTGTCTAGCCAAGATTGTCAAAGAAGGAGAAGACAGTTGGGGCACCTGGGAAGGCCGAGGCCTGCATCCATAAGCTCCTATGCCCAGCACAGAAAGGGGGCCCTGTTGGAGGCAGAAGAACGTCCCCGTTTCTGTATGTTTGTCTTTCTGACTCCATGAGGGGACATTTCCGTATACGCTCCCTCTGCTGTTACTAGAATAGGAAGGGGAGAGGAAGGTAATAAGCATTTCTACGGTACCTTTGTGCCAGGCACTGTGCTTAGTACTTTACGAATATTATCTCATTTAATCTCATTTATTTATCTATAATCTCATTTAATAGGAATCCAGGAACCCTGCCCAGAAGGAAATTGGAAGGAACCTGGCCTTTCTGCACCCAGGGAAAGTCTGGAGAATCATACCCACCCTCTGCTGCCCTAAAGGAAACAGATAGGTTACAATGGAGATAGCCTCACACGACCTTGGTTCACTTCCCAGCTGCTGAGCGACCTTGGACAAGTCACCTCCCTCCCTGGCCCTCAATCCCTCAACAGTGAGAAAGGGCTAATAATCCTTGCCCCACCTACTACACAAGATTTGCCATGTGGAAAGTACTTGCTAAACTGTGAAGCTCTATAAAAATGGTAGCTTTTACTATTAACCCCCTGGGCAGGCCCTACAGATGCCTCATCATTCATCAAGGCCCAGAAGTCGAGAAACTCAGTGGGGAAAAATGGGTGCCTATTTTGGTAGCTGTGGTGACCACACCGCAGAGGAATGGACTTCTCCTCTCCCAGCTAAACAGGGCCAAAGCTGGAGGGACCAAGCTGGCCCATGGAATCACCTGCAGACCCCAGCTCTAGGGCTGAAAAGGACCCTAGACATCATCCAGATCCCTCGTTTCATAGATAGGGAAGGGACTCACCCGTATCTGAACCAGGCCCTCTTCTCCAAATCCAGTTACTCCCTTAAAAAAAAGAACTTTTTTGTATTTTTAGTTCTCTTGAAACTTTTTTTTCCCTTTGCAGAATCTGTCTGACCCAAGTCTTTGCAATGGTGAAAAGAGATTACGTTTGGGAAACATTAACAGATGTTTTAACTTCATTACTTTGTTTAATTAAGAATTTGAACCTGGGTCTTCTGAATCCAAAGACTAATAATAATAATAGTAGCTTCATTTGCCTCATTCGATCACCACAACAACCCTCTGCGGCAAAATGATATTATCACTCCTGTTGTACAGATGAGGAAACTGAGGCTCAGAGAGGTTACATGATTTGCCTAGAGTTACACAGTCTGATGAGTGTCTAAGGCTGAATTTGAACTCAGACCTTCCTGATTTCAGATCCAGCTGGTTTCACACTATGCCACCTGGCCCTCACCCTCAACCACCACTCTGCCTTCCTCAGAAAGTATCCAGTTCAACTGCAGAAGCTATAATCATCATTATTATTCTAGAAAGGGAAGGATTTTCCCAAGGTCAGCCAGGTAATAAGTAGCAAAAACAGAATTCTGCCTCAGGTCCCCGACTCCCAGCCCAGAATTGCTTCTGTGGGGCCCACCTACCTGCCAAAATGAGAGCAATTACAAAAGTGCGTGATCTCATCCCCTCTACGGGGATCAAGATGAGCCTCCAGCCAGCCCCACACGGCTGCTAAGCACTGGATAGTGGGAAGAGCCCAGGGCCGGGAAACCAGGCCTCACCTGTATTCTTTATTCCTCTAGAGATGCTTTTTGACGTGTCCTTTCTTCCATTGCAGCATTCTACTTTAAATGGGTTATCATGGATAAGTTCTAAGGGAAGACCCTTCACACACCAGAGCAGCAAAAACTCAAAGCTCTCTTTCCTCCTGTTGCAGGCAGAACCTTGAAGCCTGAGCAGCTTCCTGCTGAACTAAAGTGAGAAAGAGGAGAATAAGAGGATGGTCATCTGAGAAGGGGTGCTAAGAACATTTGTCCTAAGTGCCTCCTATCTGTAGCTGGAAGGGACCCCATTGCCCATCAGCTCTGTCTCATCCCAACCCCCTTTCCATTTTCCTTTTGCTTGTTGTCTTCCCCCATTAGATTGTAACCTCTTTGAGAGCAGGGGCTATTTTTAAAAATTGTTTTTGTACCCCTGACACTTAGCAACTGCCTGGCACATAGTAGGCACTTAACAAAAGTTGATTGATTGATTCATTGGGAGGCATCCAGTACAACTACTTCATTTTACATATGAGAAAACTGAGGCCCAGGAACATTAAGTACCTTACCCAAGATCACATAGTAAGTAAATATCAGCCTGGATTCAAAGCCAGATCACTGGATACAAACCCATTGTCCCTTCCATTCCACCACACACCCATACTTCTGGTTCTGCCCTCTAGGGCAAGCAGAATAAATCTGATCTCTCTTCATCATGGCAGCTTTTCAAATATTTAAAACTGTTCTCACACCTCTCAAGTCTTCTCCTTTTCAGGCTGACCATTCTCATTTCCTTCAGCCAGTCTTCATATCACATGGTCTCCAATCTCTTTCTAATTCCAGTCACTGGAGTTAGGTATGCTCTGGAGCACACCTGTTTGTCCACATTCCTCCTAAAATGGATGCACTGAGCTAGACGCAGTAGTCTAGATGTGAGCTAGCCACAACAGAGTTCTGCAAGACAGTAATGGCCTTCCTTCTGGACACTAGGCTTTATAGAGATAGATAGATAGGTAGAGAGATAGATAGATAGGTAGATAGATAGATAGATAGATAGATAGATAGATAGATAGATAGATATTAACAAAAATATCTGATGTCATCCACTGACACAGATCAAGACAAGCCCCTTCACAATCCTTGCCTCATGCATTTGTATGTGTATATATGTATATGGTACAAAAATGCCACATATTATATATGTGTGTATGTATATATATGTAATTATAGTTATAGTTATTTGTGTTTGTGTCGTTTCCTTACTAGACTGTAAGCTTCATGAGGGCAGACATAGGTACTGACTCATTGTTATCTCCCACGGCACCCAGTTTAGGATTTTGCACACAGAAGTATTTAATGATGCTTATTGCAGGATAAACACAAAATAAATACTGGTTGAATCAGCGAATGAAGGAACTAAACAATCGAACGAAGAAATAAATGAATGAATGAGCGGGAAGACTTGGGTTTTTGTTCTTGCTCCGGCAACACACACTGGAATTGGAATGACATTGCCAGGTGAGTGTAGGGTGGTTGGTGTCCCTATAAGGCATGCTGATGGCAGGTCTGGACGCAGGAACTGGGATGTAGCTCCTTCCCTGCCCCAGTCCCCTGCCCTCAGGCCCAGCTAGACTTTCCCTTCCAAAGTCCAGGCCTTGCTGAGCCGCACCAGCTACCCTCCATCCCTATCCACCAAGCTTCAGGTTCGTAAATTCGTAATGCCATGAAACGCCTTCCATCAGTCAATCAGGGCAGGAGGGAGGGAGGCCATGGTCCCCGTGACAACACTGCCACCTAGAGGGAATCTTAGCTCAGCTCCTTCCAAATGCTTACTTATTTCAAGAATCGCAGACCTTACCGAGCTGGGAGGAACCTTAGAGGTCAGCTATTCTAATACCTCTGCTTAACAGATAGGGAAATTGATGACCAGAGAGGGAAAGGAACTGACCCAAGGTCAAACACTAGGCAGCATAGCATAGTGGAAAGAGAGCTGAATTTGAAGTCTAAGGACCTAGATTCCAAGCCTCATTAGACCACTGATGACTTTTCAGTGCCTTATCTTGCTGCCCTCAAACTAGATTTATTCAGAGGATCATAGGAATGACTTTCAAGGAGAACCTTAAAAACCCGGAGAGGACCTTAGAGATCATTTAGTGTCATCTCCTCATTTTACAATGAAAAAACTGAGGCCCAGAGAGTGAAATGGATTCACAATGGGTCACACAATTGGTGGTAAACTAAGATTGGAACCCAGTCCAAGGTTCTCTGCATTGGACTACACTGCCTTAATTGCCCAAGCCTTCAACACATCTCCCCCCCCCAACTCGTATGTCACCAGATACTAGAGATTTAGGTCTTAACTGTGGAGTTTCTTTCTCTTCTATTAATAAATAAATAGCCCAGGGATCCAGTAGTAAGCTAAGCCTTATCAAGCTTTTTCAGCCCAATAGGTTGAGTGTTATCAACTCCGTTCTAAGAGAGGAGAGAAGGATGTGACTAAGGAGAGGAAAAGCCTGTACTCTCATCGGAGGGATGGTTGGTTGACAGCCTTGTTATGGGACTAATTCTCCGCTTCCTCATTGTCTCCAACAAAACTTGGAAAGATTTCTTGAGTAAAATTTAACAGGGAAACAGGATATGCTCATTAATGAGTATCTATAGACAAATATACCCCCTCCCACCATCTCTTTTTGCTATCACCTTCCTCCTCTGGGGAGATGACTTAGCATCCTGGAATATCAGAATTAAGTCATAGATTTAGAGCACTTTTGTAGATGAAGATAATGAGGCTCAAGGGACTTGCCCCCAGTAAGAAAAGAAGCCTTTTGGGGGGCTCCCCTCTCTCTGCTGCCTGTGCCTTCCTTCTCCAGTTACTCTCTGTACATCACTCGTATATACACTTTTTTTTCATGTTGTCTTTCTCATTAGCATGCGAGCTCCTTGGGGGCAAGGACCAAAGTTTTGCCTTTCTTGGATCCCCAGACCTTAGCACAGTGCCTGGTATGCAGTAGGGGCTTAATAAATGCTTGTTGACAGACTTCTTGACTAAATGATAGAGCCAAAATTCAAACCCAAGTCCTCTGATTCCAAATCATTAGATTTGTTTTTTCAACATTCATTTTATTCTTTCATGACCTTCAAAATCATTTAGTCCAGTCTCTGTTGTTCTGTATCAAAAATCTAAGACACAGAGAGAAGAAAATTGTCCAGACTCACACAGTGAGTCATTGGCAAATGAATGTGGGTCTCCTGATTCATAGTCTAGTATTCTTTCTCTTTTACCAACTTACCAGATCATAGAAATGACAGTTGGCAAGGACCTTAGAGAACATTTAACCTCACTCCTTCATTTTACACAGAGAAAAGTGAGACCCAAAGAGAGGAAGGGACTTATTTGCCCAAAGTCATACTGACGATAAATAACAAAGCCAGGTTGTGAACCCAGGTTCTTTGACTCCAAATCCAAATATCTTTCAATCACACATTTCTAAAAAACCACTAGGGCTTAGATAAAAGTGAAATAGTCCCTACCTTTGTCTCTGCTTCCCCAGTGCCTAGCACAGTGCCTTGTATATAGTAAACATTTAATACATGGTTGTTGATTGACTGATGAAAATAGCGATGTTTCATTCATCTTTGTCTCTGTATGGCACAAGTCAATAAGATGAAGTTTAATAGAGATAAATGTAATATAATGTAATAACAATATATAATATAATGCATTATACATTAATAATTAAATATATTCTAATATGTAATATTATAATTAAATAAACCCTTTATTTGGGTTCCAAATACCAACTTCACAGATAAAAGGTTAATTGCCCAATCTAATGGCCTTTGCTCAGTCCTCACCCTTCATCTCTGTACAGCCTTTAACTCTGTTGATCACCATCTCCTCCTTGATATTCCTTCTCCTTAGAAGATTTTCAGGACACCACTCTCTCCTGGTTCTCCTCCTACCTATCTGACCTCTCCTTCTCAGTCTTCTTCGCTGGATCTTCATCAAGATCCCACTGAGGGTGGGTATCCTCCAGGACTCTGTCCTGGGTCCTCTTTTCTTCTCCCAATTACTGGTTCACATAATGATTTCATCAACTCACAGAGATTCAATAAGCATCGTTATGTTAAGATCTACTTACCCAGCTTCTCTCTTAACGTCCAGACTTTCGTCTCCAATTACCTTCAGTCAGTCCACAAGCTATGCTAAGTGCTAGATATACACAGAAAGTCAAAAATAGCTCCCTGCCCTCGATCAGTTCACATTCTAATGAGGGGAACCAATAACCATGTACATACAAGATATATACCTTAAAAACAGAAAGTACAGTTCTCCCTTCTACAGCATGACTTTCCCCTTCGCAGTTTCAATACATCATGGGGCAGCATAAGAAATTAAGTGGGAATTCCACAGACAACACGCAAAGGCCAGCAGATGACACAGAAAAAGTTTAGAAACTCAAAAACGCATAAAATATATATGTATATGAATAGTGTTGCATGATATCAACATATTTTATCTTTTAATAACATAATAATTCAGACTTCTTCTCTGGTACAAAGGGAAGGCCAAAAACTTTTATGCAGATTTTCCAGATTGAGGGGTCACTGCACCCCTAACCCCCATGATGTAGAAGGAATAACTGTAATCTCAGAAGGAAGGCCCTGAGGGTGGGGGTGGGTAAGGTGGGGGATGGGAAGGGATTCCTGCAAAAGGTGAGATTTGAGCCGTCAATGTGTATATAATTGAAGGGCTATCACATACAAAAAGAATTATACATGTTCTGCTTGGCCCCAGACAAGAAAAATAGCATAGTTACAGAGAGACAGACTTGGGTTCTACATAAGGGAAACCTTCCTAGCATTTAGTACTGTCTGTCCCAAGGCAGATAGGTATGTCCAGAGGAGGTCTGGGTGGCCATGTGCGGGCAATGCTATAGGGGCAATCCTGGAGAACTATGAGTCAGCCTAATTGTTATCTGATCTAGGTGTTACCTGAGGTCCCTCCCTACTCTAAGACTGTAAATTCTCCAGATTCCCAATCCAGGGTTCCCTACCTAGAACTCACCCCCTACCCCCTCCCTGCCAAAATGTTTTCCCCACTAGCCTGTCTGTCACCATTGCTGAAATCTCACCATTAAATCATTGAAGAGTTGAGTGGAAGGCCCCGAAAAGACCAAAAACCATCCCTCCTTATACCACACAGCAAAG